CCCAGGAATCTCTATCATTAGCTAACTCTGTGAGCCACTGTTCCTGGCCTGCACTCCATCCTGTTGTCACCCGGGATCCCTGGGCACAGGAGACACAGCAAGCACAGTGTCAACGGCAACCCAAGGCAGAAAGCACAGTGGAAGCCGTTGAGGAGAGAYGGGGGAGGCCTTTCCTTGCACCCGCCCAGGTCGGCACTGCAGCAGGGACACCTCTCAGGGTTCTGGCTGAGACCTGAACCTCCTGCTCCCCACTCCTCCCTCCACAAGAGGGCTGAGGATCTACAGAATTTGCAGGTCACTCTGGAGTTGGCCTTGGGATTTAACTGGGTGCCATCATGGTCCTTATCATTAACACTTCCAGAAAGCATTTACTACTGGACAGACACGATTCTAGAATTTGACATGTACTATTTTATCCCATAAATAGGAACAATGAGAGGCCAGTGCTAAATAGAATGCTCACCCTCTTCTCAGAGAGTTCTAGAAGGAACACCAGCCCCAGTGCCAGCCCTGCACACCCCCCTGCAGCGGCTGTTGGCTCTCAGAGATTGGTTCAGGCCTCCCTGTATCCACCTCTGTGTGCTTCCAGGGGCTGCGAAGCCTGGGAGGGAGGCGGGGCCTGCAGGCAGCCAGCTTGTCTCCTCAGGSCTCACCTGGGAGCTCAACAACCCTCAGATGTTCCCCAGGTGACCCTTCTCCATCTGCCAGAATCTCAGCCACAGACCTGAAGACTGCCGTAGCAGGGAGGCCCCTCACAAAGCCCTTTCCATCTGAACGAGGTGGGAACTGTGGTTCTCCAGCAGAGAGGATCGGGCTTGGAGGTGAGGGATGGGGAGGAAAAGCTCAAGGCTAGAATCAGTCCACTGTTATTGGGAGATAACCCACTAATTTATGGATTACGTTTGTATTTTACAGTTTACAAAATACATGGAATATATTGAGCCTTTTTCATCCTCTGACTTCATTACAAAGGAAGCTTATTAGCTTCATTTTGTAGCTGGGTCAGTAACTCGCTGGGGTCGTGCGGGTTGACCTAGGGCTCAAACCCAGGCCTTCTGTCTCTGACAGTGTTCCTCTTGGACACAGGCAGATGAGAGCTTGTGGAAGAAAAAAATAAATGACTGATTCTCCCTGGCTAAAGGCTGCAAGGGTTCTGGATATAGAGATAAGTAATATTTCTTTCCCAGGGACTTGAAGGTGGTGCTTCCCCTCTTCTCTCTTTACACCCACAACCAGAGTCAGACAGTGGAGGGTGATTAGCACCCATTGCTGGGCTAGAGTAGATGAACTGCATTTCRAACAGTGTCAGAGTTGAAAGCCAACAAAGCCAGGGTCTCCCAGAACACAGTCAGGGCCCAGGCCCTGATGCTTCTGCAAAACATCCCACAGAAGCGCTGACTTTTAATTCATACCACCGAGGAGCTATTTGATTGTTTCCTGGAAATGCTAATAATGCAAAGCTCATAAATACTAATGAAACACTATAGATTAGTGGAGCTCAGCAAGTAACCCAGGGGGCCTAGAAGAGAATTCTTAGATTAAAAAATATAAAGAATACCTTTTAATCGAATTTTCCCCAGACTGGGTTCCCAAATGTTAATGAATACTCTCTTTGGCGGTGGAGAGCAGACTCAAATAAGTACCTTTAAGAATGCAGAAGTGAGTTATTGACTTAGCTTTATCTTGAAAAGAAATCTATTTATTCTAAGGCTGCTTTAGGTGCCATGGGATGGAGGAGTTTAAGACAGGTGGGAGGGGTAGGAGAGCCGAGCAYATGGAGATAGACACATAATTCAAATGCATGCATCTATTTCAGCCAGCTAAGCAGCCCAGGTTGGAATTTGCTTATTAAGTTTATCTTTCATGACATGAGCCTTCAATAATAGTAACTCCCCTGGAATATACAAGGCCCCCTGATATCAAAACTATACCTTCGTCATTTGTTGCCAAACCCACACCTGGCACGGAACGTGGCACATATTAGATGTCCAATTAATGCGGGTGGATTGATAAAGAGCTCTCTCAAACATTTCCCAGAGCTCTTACATCTTGTTAACTTCTTCTAAAGGGCAGCTCAGATCACAGGGTTCTGCTATCATAAAACTCCCAAATAAACATCAGCCCCGTCTCTACCCTGGCCACAGTTTGCCCTTCTAGTTTGTCTCCCCATCCTCTCTCCCACCCGGAGCCCCAGGCCCATCAAAAGATGTCCTGCGCTCCTGCTCACAGTCTGGAAATTGCTCTGTCTGGAATGCCTGAACATTCTTTTTACCCATATTTCTCTGTCAAAATCCCACTCGTCTTTCAAGCTCCTCCTTAAGTGACTGACTCCACCTTCAGGAAAACTGCCATAATATTCCCAAAGGCCTCAGCACCCTTCCTCTCTCTCTGGAAGACCCCAAAGTGGGCCCCAGATGCCCTTCAATCATGTGGGGTGGTGGTGTCACTACCATGCTGCCGCAAAGTCACAGCGGCACCGCGCAAGGAGCACTCGGTCCCAGGAGGGCCATGTGCAGGATCCARTAAGAGAAAAGCACCCGAGTCTTCCCCAGCAGAGCAGGAAAGTCCAGCCCCCAGGGGGGCCCACACCTAGGCCACACAGAGCGAGGCAACGGCAAAAGGAAAAGGAAGATCCAACCAGAGGCGAGGGGTGGACAGAAGGGTGAGGGCTGCAGGTCTGCGGGGTTGCTTCTCCCCACAAACCGCCTGGCAGCGTGACCATGTGTGAGCAGACCCAAGTCCTGGGATGTTCCCAGACCCTGGGGACTTGGGCAGAGCCTCCAGCCAGGGGAACGTGGCTTCTCAGAGCGCTTTCCTTTGTGGTGTGTTGGGTTTGGGCAGCCAGCTGCTTTCCATAAACCTGCACTTGGGCAGGACTTGGTTCTTATGCTATGTTTCTTTATGCATTTGGGAAGTGTCTAACAATGGGAAATAAATCTCTTTGCAGTCTTTTCTACAATAGACTGGGATAAATGTTTAAGTCAGTCTGGGGAATAGCCAGGAATTGTAAGATTCTGCAAATCCTGGGCTCCTTGCCAGAAATGGGTTAATTCCATACAAAGGAACTGGAGGTCCCAGAGCAACACCTGTGAACAGCTCAATCCTTGGGGATCTGGAACAAAACTCCCCAGAATGAGCAAGGCCAGCTCTGCCACTCACTGCATGACTTGTGCTTCTACCTCTTCAGCTGGGGATGGGAGACAACGGCACCTTCTTCACAGGGGTACAGTGACGGTTAGATGAGTTCACAGGTGCACAGTGCCTAGAGCAGAGCCTGGCATATAATGGTGCTTAATAAAAACTAGCTGAAATTATCACTATTCTAGCATTACTTCAGTCTCTGTGGTCAAAGGGCCCAATAGTAGGAGCCAATTTATACAGTTGGGAAAATTGTGTAAATAGTGGAGTCTGGGGTGGGGTCACATGCCAGCAGACCAGGACTGGGGTTGAGGGAGCCTAGATGGGTGCACGGGTACTAGGATATGGGACATGTATAGATTACACTATGCAAGGAGTTAGACCTTGAAGGACAACCACGGGATGCCACATGTAACACCGCACCCCGCAGGGCCATGCCTTTGTGCTCCAGTGCAAGGTCATGGGTGAGCCTGAGTTACCTGCTGGTGCTTCCGTCCAGGGCACAGCACCATCCTGCTGGGTGCTTCAAAGATAAAATGCATGTGGAGTGATCAGAAAAGTATCGTGAAGTAGCAGCTCATCATTGCTGGCTCCTCCACTTGCCCACCATCCTTGGGTCTGGGTGTTCACCGCCCCTCTGTGTGGCCTCCAGCATGTCACATGTCACCTCACCACTCTGGGCCTCAGGTGTGTCATCTTTCAGTGAGACAGTTGGCCAGGATGATCTCTAAAGTCTACAACCTGAAAATCAGTGATTCCGGTGTTTGGGTACCAAGAGGTCTCTTAAATTCCTGTGAATCATGCCTGACCTCAAAGTCTTGTTTGGACATAAGAACCTGTGGGTTCCAGGACCCAAGGGAGCCTCTGTGGCATGACACTAGAGAGCTGAGCCCTAGGGTGCCCGTGAAGAGGCAGAGGGGTAATAAGCAAGAGATGCAGCCCTGTGCGGGAACAGGAGAAGGTCCCCGTACACTGAGGTCAGCACCGGGGCAGGGGGTCCAAACACCCCCGTTTTCAAGGAGCTGAAAGGCTCTTTACCCCTGAGACGCAAAGGAGCAGGTAGTGAAGGAGACCTGGGAACAGAAAGTAGAGAGGAAGGTGAGGAAGGAGGAGAAGGTGCCGAGAATCAGGCCCAGGAGTGGGGCCTGGGAAGGGGAGGAGGCATGCAGCAGGATATCAARGAAGGCAGGGGTGGGCCAAGTTGAGGACAGTGTCCTCTGAGCCTGGAGGAGGCTCAGGTCCCCTGCCACAGGCAGCAAGGAATAGACCTTGCATCTTGTGCTTGAGCTTTAGTTAGCATGGGGAATGGCAAGTTATGTTCATTAGAGGGTCACATCCAGCAGTGTCCTGTGGGAAGTGGGCGGCCAGCACCTGGCAGGTGGGCGGCAGTGGGGAAAAGATTGAGAACTGCCACCGCAGAGGGTCTGGAGGGCCAGCGCCTCCTCAGAACCCTGGCTACTCACATGGATTCACGTACCCAAGAATTTGTGATCAGCTACTCTGCGCCGGATSGGATGGAATGGTAATGTTTGTATAGTAAACCCCAAAGTGTGTGTGTACACAGCAAGAACGGACTGGTGCTTATTGACCAAACGCACACATTTACCTTCTTCATTGAGTCACAATAAAATTTCAGTGGACTCTTTGAAAATCTGCTCTTCTTTCTCCTCCCTTTGTAAACCTAAAATCTATGAGGCTACTAAAATCACAGGGCTGAGGATGAGCTCGGGGCTAGAGCCTTCAGAGCACCTKCGAGGCCCCAGGTCCACCCCAGCATCACAAAACAGCCTGCCAAAAATAAACAGGGGAACCCTCCACCCTGCACTGCATTCCTCTTCATGCCTCGGTTTTTCTCTCCTCAGGGGCTTTGATGGCATGCTCAGGCCCAGAGCTGAAAGAGGAATAAATTCCAAGTGGCCGAGGCTGTGTCCTCTGGGGCCCAGGACTTGCTCGCGAGTGACTTGGCCGTGAGCCCCACACMGCCCAGCACCATGGAGAGAGTCATCACCTTCTTCCACTCCATCTGGGACATCGTGGTGACCAAGCACCAGGAGGGCATCTTCAACACCGTCTGCCTGGCCATCCTCCTGGGGCTGCCTCTCGTCGTGGTTCTCACGCTCATCTTCATCTGCTGCCACTGCTGCTGGAGCCGGCCAGGCAGGAGCAGACCGCAGCCCGCGCAGAACAAGAGGAAGAAGAAGAAGAAGGATGAAGAAGACCTCTGGATCTCGGTCCAGCCCAAGCTTCTCCAGATGGAGAAGAGGCCATCGCTGCCTGTCTAGCTCCCTCTGGGGCCGAGCCTCCTCCCGTCCCCACAGAGACTAGGGAGCAGGAATCCCTGGAGAGACACACTCCTGTCCCCAGACTACCTACTCCACCAGGGAACCAATCTCAGACTCAGTGTCCCCAYGGAGGGCACTCCCCGGGGAGCACATGGACGTGTCTTGCTCTGTCTTGGCCACTATGTGTCCAGTAGCCATGCCTCTGACGGCGACCCAAGCATGCATTCCACCTGCYTCTGCACACCCCATACCCCAAAGCACCAAGAACGTGAGTCTGTCCATCTYGACATAGCTTCCCCGTGTACCCACACACCATCACCCGGGCAGATTCAGGCAACGGCGCAAGGGCAAGTCTATTCTGCTCATCTGATGCTGTCGACTGTGTGCTCCAGGCCAGCAGCGCATTACACACACTTGCAGAAATGCCTGGTGGGCAGGCGTGGCTAGACTCAGGCACTTAGACACAGTTGTGCAGCCAGGCAAGGCCCCCACGCACTGTCTGCTCCGTATTTCAGTCAGGTTGGAGACGTTGCCTCCCTATTCCTGTACSTACGCTGCCTTTCACTGGAGAGTCTGGCAACCTGGTACTGCCCCTATTCCAGTGCAGACTGACACAGACACACCAAGTTCCTGTGCTTCTGACCCCTCACCTGTGCCCCTGTAAAGTCTGATGATCAAAATTCACTGAAAGCTCTTTTCTCACAACATTGTTCTCGTTGCCACTGATGGTATTCAGTGTGGGCCAAGACCTCTCGGGCACACTACCCCATAACCACTCAGTAAGGTGCCCTTTTCCAAGCAAAAACAAACAGCTCTTGGCRGTGACTGCTAGAAAACTATGGAAACCCCTCATCCACTTCAGTGGGCTCCAAGTGTATACCTGTGCAATTATGTTTTCCAGATGGAAATGTTAGATGCTACAACTGAGTGAGGTATCCTCTTTCTACCAAAGATTTTCAGTAAGAAAGGAATTAAGACAATCACAGCACCATCTCCAAGAATGCACACAGGGAATGATTTCATATGGTTGTAAGGAGTGCACGTGTGGTGCAGGAGRGACCCAGAAGTAGCAACTGAAATGAAAGTAGGATGTAGCTATAAAGAAGTTTATTAATATTTATCTTGAAGCTCAGGCAAGTACCTTGCACACAGTAGGTACTCATAACTGTAGTTTCTGTTTGATACATGGTGACATTATGGGTAAACTCTGATACCTCACCAATTCCCCCCAAGTGACCTTGTAAGAGAGCCCACTAACTGCTGCAATGGCTAGAACTAGGTATTGGGTTCCATAGGAGACTACATGCAGAGCTAAGGGGCAAGAGGATGCTCGCGCCCCAAGGGATGTGAGGACATGCAAGCTAGGTCCCCAATGAGTTGAGCAGGCTCCTCCCCACCAGGCTGAGGTTGGGAGGCACAGTTAATCTACCATATGATGAACTGGTTGGCATTTTGATTGCATATGACCATATTACAAAGATGGATCATTCCCAATCTGGGAGCAGGTTGTACTCTAACAATTCATTTGCAGATCTTCTAGGGAGCACTCTTGAAATATTTTCCCATGGAAGCTGTTCTAGACAGTGGCAAAATCACTGCCTAATAGCACAGCTAAACTATGACATTTAGAAAAAAAAACAACATTTAAATTCATCAAGGCTGTGTGAATGGAGAAATGTACTCAAKTTGCTTACTTGGGCTACCTGGTACTCACTTGCCTTCCAGGTACACTCCGGGTCCAAGGAGGGTGGGCATCTGGTGGTGACCAGGGTCTAGGACAGAACTCTGTGAACCTAACTTAGGCCTGCTTATGTGTCCAACCAGTCATGTTTGCCCTGGGGTGAGATTCCTTAGCGACTCAGGCCTCCACTCTTAAACCCCTTTGACCCAGAAAAAAAAGCACTTTCTGATTCTGTGTCCCCTTGTCACTTGGAGAACTTGTTATAGAGCATCTGGCTGTCTCCTGCGTGTCCCAGGATGGCCAGTCATCTCCACACACCACATGCCTCCCRTGTCCTCTGCTGCCCACCAGGACCAGCTGGCCTTCCCATCCCCAGCTCTCAGTCCCCCTAACGAAGAYGACTTGGGAGAGACATGGAGACCGGCAGAGACATGGGTGTCAGGATCTGGGGGCATGGGTCAACAGCATCAGGGACCACATGAGTAACATGGTTTCCATGGCAACTGGCCACCAAATTGAATTAAGACAGCAGTCAGTTGGCTGCTGTGACAAGGCTTCTGTCCCTAGGCACAGGACCCCTGCCATCTCCTCAACGCACGGACTTTCTCYCACTCTGGACGTGAAACACCCAGAAACTCACATCTCAATTGTCTCCAAAGCCCAAGACGCAGAAGACTCCACCTGGAGGGGGCTTGTCTGTTCCTCTCCCGGCCTCCCCACAGCCTCATGGTGCCTAGGCCTGTGCTGGAAGCRTGCCAGGCCCTCAGATTGTTGGACAAATGGAAGCTCAGAAGGGCCAAGGGAACCTTCYGTCACGTCCTCTCCCCCGGTCCTGGCCTCTCCTGTGCCCCTCCTAGTCCCTCTTCTCCCTGCGCCCGTGGTTCAGCCGTCTACTCCCTCCATCCCAGCCTCTGTCCCAGAACCACCTCTGGCAACCACTGGGACCTCGGGACTCCTGTCCACATGGCTCATCTGGGGAGGTGAGGTTAATGGGGGACAAAACGAGGATCTGTAAAGAAGAGGCCTCAACCAGCACAGGCTAGGAGAGAGGGTCCCCRGGCCCAGAGTTCTGACAGCCTCAGCCAGGCCCAGACAGGGTCAGAGGAGAGAGGCCCGCCATTGCTCAGAGTCGCTGTTTGTTTGCATTTCTGGGTGGGGAGGGAAAGGAAAAGGACAGTGTAGAGAAAGGAAATTCCCCTTTCCAAGAAGAATATAAATGATCAAAGCTGTATAATATTTTTCAGTAAAATTCAAATGCACATAAAAGAAAATTTTATTTAAATAAATATTTTGAAAATCAAAAGCTGTGCCTAGCCTCCTTGTTGGCTGGAGTCAGTTACTTCCCTAACATCAGGTGTTACTCTCCCTCGGCCAGGCCTCAGAAGTGATGGGGGCAGGGGCTCACTCTGGACCCCTACCCAACCCTGCCTGGTCACCACCTCCCCAGAGCAGAGTCACAGGTCGAAGGACCAGGAACGTGGCTTTCTCGCCCCTCTTKGCTAAGCAGACAGCCTCAGAGGCCAAACTCCTCAGAGGTGCCAACTCCGGAAATACACACTTACGTTCCCTGGCAACCCTTAGAGAACTCTCCCTTCTATGAGGTCAATCAATGGCTTCTCACAGAGAAAGGAGAAAGAGCAAAAACCTAAGCAAAAATCGACCTCTGGGCTAATCTGGTGCTGGGAAGAGAAGGATCGAGAGCCTCTAGAGAGCCACCAGGGACTGAGCTATGGGTGTTTGCCTGGTGAGGGGGATAGGGGGTACACACACGTGCAYACTTGCATGTATGTATAAGTGTACACCTTCCTTTTGAGTCACCCAGAGCTTTGCACTGGTTATGAAATTCAATGATTTAGATCCTCCTGATTCCTCTCCTATGATGCCAGGAATTGCTGTTAAAGCAGAAGCTGTCCAGAACATGCTGCCCAAGAATCACGAGTGATGGAAGTGCTCTCCCCCAACACCGTCTAGTATGGCACCGTCRCCACAGTGGGTGTTTAAATCCATTAAAACCAAATCAAAGGTCTGCCAGCCATACTTCAAGTGTCCAGCAGCCACACGTGACTAGCTGCTCTCATCCTGGACGGCATAGGTCCATGATCTCCCGGGGAACCACTTTCAAACACGTTGGCAAAACTCCATGCTGGACTGTATGTTAACGAGGCTCAGGAAGGAAGGCCCATGGAATAGGCTCCCATTCGCCCCGTCTCCCCCCAGGCAGGCTACATCTGAAGTTCTACTTGGTTCCCAGTACCCATGACACCAGGCCATGGAGGCTTCACTTAGCTTCCCATTCATTCCCAGGACATTCCAAAACTTTCCAGAGCAGTTAGGGACGTTGACCAGAAACCACCAGGAAGGGAGCGGCCCCTGCACCCCTGAAGGGAGCCACGGCTGATGCCCCCAGCCCCTCCACCAGGCCCCCTGGGTGTGCCCAGGGTTCCCACGGAACCATCAGCCATCACACTCTCAACTCACCAGGGCACCCCTGCGCGGGCCTTGCCTGTGACTTCAGCATGATTCCCAAATTAAAACCCCCAGGACTAGGAGGCCGAGGGAAGATCCCTTCAGCCATCTTTCTGTTTCTGCCACAGTTTCAGAGGGAAGTTTTCAGACACCTTTGAGGACAACCCCATAAAGTGGTGCTTTACTCAGGAAGGGTGGCCTGCGTGCACTGAGTCCCCTCTCACGACATCTGTTCCATAGATGTCTGTGCCATCCACTACGTGCCCTACACACTGGGTGCCAGACGTGCAAAGCTGTCCAGAGGGGCTCACGGCCTGACTGAGGGGGCAGACAAGCCAAGAGACCACCTTGATCCAGTGTGGTCACTGCTCCCTTAGAGGGATGCCCCAGGACTGGTGTCAGGACAGGCTGACGGGAGACCACGGGAGCACCAAWGGCTGCCTGGTGGGAGGTGGCCAGGAGGGCCCGTCTGCACAGTGGACATTGGGAAGGTGCACTCTGGAATAGGGGTGCAGGGGGCAGCTGACGAGACCATTCGGAAGCCATCTGAGCCATGGAGCCACAGGTGCTGTGGGCTAGGACTCAGGAGGAGGGTGGTCCGACCCTGCGGCTGGCTCCAGCTCCCACTGGTCATGTCCTTCAGGCCCCTGCATCTTTCTGTCAAGACTTAACTGCAAAGTGGAGCTGATGGCAGTCCCTGTCTCCCAGGGGGGCAAAGCTTAAATGAGATAATGCCTACAAAGCATTTAGCACAGGGCCTGGCTTATAGAAAGTGCTCAGTAAAGGTTGGGTGTTGTTAATAAGCATAGAGGAAAAGTCATGAGAGAGCTGTCCCAGGAGTCAGAAGAGGAGCGACTCTCAGGACGAAAGCAAATTCCACAGGACAGAAGAGTGCAGACAGGCCCCACGCAATGGGGATTCACCCTGATTTTTACTAACCTTTCCCTGCCTCACTCTTCTCTTTCTCTTTCTTCCATTCATGAACCATATGGTCCTGTGAACAGCCTTAGAGCTGGCTAGAGACACACCCCTAGCAAGGAGGAAAACAGAAAAGCAACACAAAAATCAAAAGTTTTGAATGAAATCATAAAACCTACTATCTTACCATTCCAGAGGGTTTGCAATACATAGAGAGCACTTTCATTACCTCATTTGACATCCACTTTATAAATGAAGAAAATGAGGCCCACCGAAGGGAAGCCCACTGGTCTGGCCTGGAATGGAAACCAGAGTCTCAGGCTCTTGCCCCAGAGCACCCACACACCAGGCCCGGCCCAGGCTGATTTGCTGATTTGGGTTCCTCCAGACTTCTAGGAGCACCTCCTTTGAGTCAGAAATTACTGAATGCAATCAGCCGCAGCCTGTGACATGCCCAAATGTCTCCTTCAGATGCTCCACAGCAAGCCCCATCTGCCTCCTTAGCTGTCTCCAAGCCTAATTGTCCTTACTCACCAAAATAAAGCACTGCTTTCATTTCATTTCCTTCTTTTATTGGAATTATAATACTACTGCAGTACTATTGTTTTCTGCTTTGTTCTTACAATTACACTGCAGTTCATCTATTTTATAGAATAAACAGGCTTTATGGGCTAACCTGGAAATCTAACTTCTTTAGATAACATTGGAATTAGAACCAAAAGCCTTTCCCCGATGGAAGCAAATAACCAAAAAGAGGGCTTTGGGAAGCATTTGAAATCTTGGAGCTGCTTGAAATCCCTTCCAGGAGTGCCCCTTACCTTCCTGCATGCTGACAACCTCCAGCCTCTGTCTCCCCGCTCAGCCTGGGAACAGAGGCCAGGTCTGGGAACAGAGGCCAGGTCTCATAGGCAACCTCTTCAAGGTAGCGCCTCTTACCTACTTGTGAATTGGTCCAGCAACAACACTGCCTGAGCAACCACCAAGGGCAGGTGGATGTTGATATGAGCCACCCTGGTTGACCCTCCATACAACTTCCCAAGAAGGAAGAGAAGTGGGAAACCCTAGCTCCCAGATTCCCGCATTATGGAGGAGAGAGATGCTAAGGCAAGAGGCTCTTGGTAAGACAACACTGCCATCTCCTGGCCAGGATGAGTATAGCAAGGCTCTGGCACCAGGCTGCAAGCCCCAACTGTACTGATCAGCTCCTAGGGACAGGCATGTCCTCCTGCCCTGGTGAAGGGATTAAAGCATGRCTTGGAAGTTTGTTTAGTAGAGGACCTTTTCCAGTAACTGTCTACCCTTTGCCAAGAGCTCTTCGCCATTCCTGTTTTTCCTTCCTCCCTCCTGGCTATTCCTGCATCTGCATTTCTCCCKTGTACATATTTTCCTTTCACACCCCACACCTGATTCTTCTCCTTCCTTGGTCACAATTCCTTCAGMACTTCCTAGCTGCAATAGTCCTTGAATCCCTGAAAATTCCAAGTTCAAAAACAGAGCTCTTGACCATCTGACTAACACAGACTCAGGACCCTTTCCCAGAGGAAGCAGCTGTGAGCAGCATCCGACTCCAAGCTCTGCCAGGTGAGGAYGGCCCCTCCTCTTAAATCCTGTTGACTTTCCTTCYATAGATCTGTTTCACCTGCGCCCTCCCTCCCTTTCCCGGTCGCAGGCCAAGGAAGTCATTACGCATTGCCTGAACTCGTGATTCTCCATCCTCCCCAAGCCCTCCCCAAGAGGATGGTTAGATGGGTGGCAGGTGCGGTTGGATGCCTTCTGATGTTCTGCAGCACAGCAGAGTAACTGTGGTTGACAACAATTAATTGAATATTTCAAAATAGCTCGAAGAAAGGGTTGTGAATGCTCCCAATACAGAGAATGAGGAATGCCTGAGGCGATGGATGCGCCAATTACCCGGATCTGATCATTACRCATTATATACGTGTACTGAAATGTCAAACTGAGCCCCTCAGATGTGTGCAATCACCGTGTTTCAATTAAAAATATATATTTTTTAAAAATCCCACCACCCCCATTCTCTATTCTGCCTTCAGACTGATGATATTTTCAAAATAAAACCTGACCGTGTCACTGCAGAGTTTAGGAACCTCTGAGAGTTCTACGCTGTCCAAATGCTTTCATGTGAGCAGTAGCTCTGGTCCCTGTGGGATGTTAGAATCCCCCGGGGAGCTTTGAAAAGCTCAGATGCACAGGACTCACCTGAGACCCATCRAAATTGAGTCTTTGGAGGGGAGTGAGTCTCTGTGCACATCAAAGCTCATGTGGACTCTGATGGGCAGTGCCAGCTGARGGCCACTGTTGAGAGCCACAGCCGAAGGGCCAAGGGGCCCCAGCAAACTTCCAGCTGTCAGCTGATGATTGGCTCACAGCGGCCCCAGCAACATCTAGCTGATTGGCTCCTCTGCGGTGATGCTCATTGGGCTGTTTCCCTGCCCTTTCAGACTACGGAGCTGCTCATTGGGGGACTATTTTGGCTCCGCCCACATGACCCAGCCAATCAGCCTCAAGAGCAGGAGGATTGTGGGAGGTGGAGAGGCTTGTGGTTGGGAGAGAGGCTTGTGGGAAGCCGGTGGTGGCAGTTGGGCTCTGAGGGTTTTTCCTGAGGAGCTGTTTTGTTTGGCGTGTGTGGTTCTGAAAATAAAGTTCATTTCTTTTGACAAGTGGCTCCCGAATTGTGCCCAGCCAGACTGTGACAGGCCACCGTGATGGCATGGCAGGGAATCCTGGCCCACTCCTGTAGACTGGCTCCCAAACTCTTCACATCTGCTAGGTGCCCTGGCACCCCAGGGTGTCTGTGTCCTCCCCTGGAAGATTCAGACCTATCCTTCCACAACTAATGCTGTCGCATCACC